GCTGAAGAATTAAGAGAGAGAAACGTTGAAGAAAAAAAGGATATGATCTGATTTTTTATTTTATTTTAACTGATTTTGAGTGAAATAAAAAAATATTGTTAATTTGTTTGGATCCCTTATTTCATGCTAATCATTAATTATCCACAATAAGTTCAAATTAAATTACAGGCCACAATTTCAGTTTTTTTCTTTATTATTTTTAATTCCGTTTTTTTTAACTTTCGTTTATCTTTTTATTTTATTTTAAAAGATTTTTCCAATTAATAAAAACATTTCTTTTTTTTGTGAATTTGTTATAACCTGAATTTTTTAATTTTATAGCTTGAAAGTCTAAATCTACTGCTATAGCTTGAAAATAGTACTATAATATATGTCATATATGAAATTTACACTAAATTTAATTAGGCTCCTTAGCAAATTGTGACTGAAATTTGGTGGCGAGTGGTATTTAAAATGAACTATAGCTATAATGACTAATTAAGTAGTATAAGTTTTCTTAACCGCGTAATTTTTCCCTTAAAAGAATTTCAAGAGGGAATAGGTCTTCGGTTCACATTTTCACCAAATTCCAATTGTTTTAGTTCAAATTCGACAAAACAGCAACGAGATAAATTATAAATCTAATTAATTTATTTAAACTTCTTAACTTCGACAACACAAAATAATTATTTTGAGATGACAAGATCATTTATAAGCCTAACGAATTAATCAGCTTAAAGGAAATAAAATGCGTACTTAATTTGAACATAATTTTAGGTAAAAATTCTCTTCCAGATATTTATTCAAAGTAATAAATATATAAAACTTTATATTATAAAGATATAGAAATTATTTTATAGGAAAAATGACAAAATTATCATGAATAATACTTTTGAAAATATTTTTGATTTTTGAAAACAATTATTTCAAATTGTTTGAAATTGAAGAAGCTTGAAAATTAATTAAATTGGGGAGGGTCAAAATTGGGTGTCAACAATAGCCCCTCGTTTGCTTAGGAACGATGAAAGACATTCGAGGCAAACGAAATTGACGAATCCAATTTTGTCCAACCACTAATTCATCTCTTCGAAACGGCGAACGGTAAGGATTTTTTGAAGAATTATGGCTGGACCCTTGTATTGGGTTTCCTACTTATCTCAAATTACATGAGAACTCAGACCACTAGTAGTTTGAAACGCTTGATTTTAAGCACAATTTTCAAAGAATTCCAAAAGCTATTTCGGTGTCGAAGTAAGCCAACCCGTAACCCAAAACATCAAGCAATGAGTGTAAGGCAGAAACTACCGAAAACAATAATCTAAACAAGGACAACAAGGCGGAAGCAAACCAAAATAAATATATACATAGATCCCTCACAGAACATGGAAGTCACTAGTACAGAGTTGCCTAATAAAAAGTATAAGTCCCAAAAGTGGACCACAACAAAGTGTGTCTCAAAAGCAATAAGACTAGCTAAGCAAAATAAGGAGACATGATAAACCCAAAACGCCAAGTGCTCACCCTCATCTCCGAGTACCAAAAACACAGGTACTTAGTAGGCATCAAAGGTCGACTGAGCAAAAAAGGGGTAAAAACAATAAGAAATGATAGAATCTAGACACAGAGAGGTCAAAACGGATATGAAAAGAAAGCACGCGAGCATACCAGAAGTAAACTAAGTACAATTGAACTAAACCTAACTGGACTCCCATAAGCCCAGAAGGTACACTCGTGTGCAAGTTTAAATAAAACCTGTAACGGAACACCATAAGCCCGACAAGTACACATAATAGCTAAGTCTACTGAGAAAGAAGAAAAATCGGGCTCCCAGCCCAAAGTAACCAAGATAACCCATCAGACTCCACCCAGCCAACAGTGCACTCCCAGCCCAGCTAGAAAGAGTGACTCCAGGGGGCACCGAACCATACAGTCCACTCCCAGCCCAGCTAGAAAGAGAGGCCCACGGATAAGGTAGATATCGCGAGTCGTCCTACCATGCAGTCAGCTCCCAGCCCAACTAGAAAGAGCGACCTGGGGACACCTAGCCAGCAGCACACTCCTAGCCCATCTAGAAAGAGAGGCACGAGGGTGATCGCCGAAATCACCGAGTCACCTAGCCAGCGATACGCTCCCAGGACAACTAGAAAGAACGACCCTGAGGGTGATGGTATCTCCAATAGGATCCAATCCAACAACATCCATCGTGGAACGCCGTCCACTCCAAGAAATCACAGAAAAGCTCCAAGCCTATACCATCTCAATCCCACGCCTCTAGTGATGCACCGAACCTCCGAGAACACGTAGGAACCACAGAATTAGAGGGAGAAGATACAGAAGTGCAACAAACAACGATATCTCCTAATCTCAGACTCAAACTGTTACGATCCGATTTCGAAAACTAAGGTTTCGAAACCAATTTTCGCAACTTTGGCAATTTTTGTAAAGTTTTGGAAAAATGAGTTATTTGGAAGTCGCCACTTAATTTTTAGGAGAAAATTAAAAAAAAACATTTAAAAGGGAGTTTTTGAATAAAACAAAACATTTTTAATAAAACCAGAGTCTTAGGTAAGGGTTCAATTAAATCTCTAAGGAAGGGTTTAGGCATCTTAGAGAATCCACTAACACGCGGTTGACCGACGGATTTAAAAGCTTAGCTATTTTTAAAAGAAAAACTTAAATTACTTGAAAAATCTTATTATTATTATTATTTCAAATGAGAAATCTTTTGATACTTGTATATTCGTATTATCCCAAATATTGAAATAAGTCAAATGTTGAAGTGTCAAAATGATAATTTTAACTTAACATTTTATCCGAGTCAAGTTTTTGAGTCAAAAAGTCAACACAATAACTTAAGCGTGGATTTGGAAGCTAGATACTAACTACAAAAGAATATGGATGATTCTCAAGTTAGTTTTTAAGCTTAGAATACCTAATGTAAAAGAATTTTTTTTTTTTTTTTTTTAAAATTGAAGAACTTGAACAAAATATCTTCCCAAGGATTCATCTAAGTTAGTAGTCAACAAATAAAATAATAAATAATAACACATCCGACATGGTAAAATATGACAAAATTTAAAAGAATTTGGACTTTTGGTCCAAACGAAGGTAGGCGCTGCTGTTGCTGAATTAAAGTTGGACTTTCTTTTAAGTCCAATTTTCAATTTTCGTTTCAGCCATTTAGGCTACTGCTGCTGCTGCCATAGTGTAAAATTGGACCTTTTTAAGTCCAAAAATCCTCAATTTTAGTCCATTTGGGACTGCTGCAATAATCAAATTGGATTCTTAAATCCAAAAATTCAATTTCCGGCCATTTTTTATTGCTATTACTCCGCTACTTAGCTGATGCCACTGATTTGGGTTTAAACCCATTAACATTAGCTTCCCTTCCACAATTTAGATGAGGTTGACTCAAGAAGAGAAAAATGCAAGAGAGGGGAGTCCATTGGACTCATTCGGAGAGAGTTCATGAAAAGAAAATGAGAGAAATAAGGATTAGATGTCTCATGAAATAAATCAATTAACTGGATTCATTAAATTGCTAAACAACCAACTTAAACAAGATACAAAATATAACACTTGAAGTTACGAAATGAAAGTACTACTAACAGTGATCACAAAGATATTAGACACAAATCAGGACAAACACCTATCCTTACGGAATCTAAAGTCAAATGCCAATTAGCACGTCATTATTTCAATGCATTCAATAAAAGAGACCATACTAGTACTAACATAAAATGAGAAACAAGTAAAATGCCAAAACTAATTAAATAAAAGATAAGGTAATGAATAGATCCACTTATGATCTACAACAAACAATAAGAAATTCACTACTAGTATAAACCAATAACAGTCCTAGATGGAGGAACTAACAACGATAGGCAGCCAAAAATTTACATAACAACAACTAAACCCATTTGCTATTAAGTATACTGCTACTTGAACACAACCTTGGACTAAACCAAAAAAAAAGAGTGCGAAACGAATTCATACATAATTTAAAGATAAGCAAGTTTAGACTCAATGTGATCAAAGTTTTAAGCCATCTCATTTAGCGTACACGAAGGACAAACAAGAAAGCAGAGAGTAGGAAGATATAAAATAACCTTACGCCAAAATAACTTGGCGAATTTAAACAAGGATTCAAGTAGAGTAATCTAATAAATTTTAGGATGTATAAAAGTTATGATATGGGCTTTCATCCATCCCAATCTAACTCTTTTGAGAGTACTAAAGAGCAGCCCCCAAATGTAAGCTATTTCTCACTCAAACAGTCTCTCGATTTGCATTGAGAGCCAAAGGATCTGTTGATTGGCAAATCACACTAACACATTTATGCTTACAGGAGTCTACTAAAGAGACATTGATCCTTGCTTAAAGGGGAAAAACGAATTAACCTTGTGTATACCCTGAGCAAAATAATTAAACTAATTTAAAGATAAGAAATATACTAAACCATGATCAATACAAGAGAGAATCAGCAGCTAATCCTAACACATAAACAAACTTAAGCTTATGTAACACCCATCATCTAGACAAAAAAAATAATAATCTTAAACTCATACCACCAACAAGATTTCACCTTAAAAACCAACTAATCAGCAGTTTTACATTTATAAAGCAGGTCGGAGAAATTAGGCTTCGACAAAAATCGAGGTAATAGTCTTAATACAGAAGACGACAACTTAAGGCAGAGAACAACAACTATATAACAAGAATTTCGAAATCGAATAAAGATAACAGTAACTAGAAGCATATATATAGATTTATGAACTCGATTAAGTGAGAGAATCACATTCACCTCTCTGAATCATAAGAAAACAACCATCAATAGAGAAAAATATTTAAACTCATTCAAAATTGACTTAACTTTAAAAGAACAGGATAATGAAGACTTTTTCCTATCATTCACACCACTAATCACATTGAATCTAAAAGAGATAAATAACAATACTAAACAAATAACAACTCTACAATGCAACAGAAAGAAAAGACTAAGAAAAGAGCTAGAAAATTACCTGGTGCTGGGCAGCGACTGGGACTCGAGTGAACGTGACGAACTCCACCACCACTCTGACTCAAAATAGCCGCAAATCAATAGAATTTCAGAAACGAAAATAAGAACTCCCAAAAACTTAGCGGGGTGCTCTTTTCTTCGCCTCCTAAAAAAAAAAACTCCCCTTGAACAGTAAGAGGAAATGGGTTTATATAGGACAAATAACGAGTTGAATTTGAAGATGGAATTCGATGTGGGACTTGAGAAATTTCAAAAATCCTTGAGCGGATAAGGATTGCCAACTAGGCAGTGTACGAATTCGTACCATTTTTGAACAAAAGTTGGCAAAAGAAAAAGGGAAATTGAGAGGATAATGTCGTTGTGCTCGTGCTAAGCACGCTTGAATGTACGGAATCGAAGGAGAAAAAGGGAAATTTGAGGCGATCCGGAGGATTTAGGGCTGAGTTCATCTGGTTCTTGTTTGCTGGAGTTGCATCTGAAAAGAATCAAGAAAAGCAAGAGGGGTAAAAAGGGGAAAATGGGCCGGATCTTTGAAGTGGGCCAAGAAATTGGATCTTTTCTTTGTTCCAAATGGGTCTTGGTTGAAGGACATGGTCCTTTGACCATATCTTAATTAAATTGAAAGCGAAATAAATTACGTATTTAATTAACTATTAAGCTTCTTAACTTCAACAACGTAATATAGTCATTTAATATAAAATTTCTAATTACTTTGAAATAAAGAGAGTAGTTATGTACTCTAATTGATTTTTTTTATTTTTTTTGAGGAAATAAAATTCACAGTTGGTTAGAACTCTATTTTTAGTAAAAATGATTTTATTTTATTTTTTCTAAATATTTATTCGAAGTAATAAAATATATAACACTATATATTGTAAATATATAAAGATGTATATATTTTAAGGAAAATGACCGAATTGCCTAAAAAAACATTTTCTTGAAAATATTTTTGACTTTTTGAAAATAATTATTTCAAATTGTTTGAAATTGAAGAAGCTTGAAGATTAATTAAATTGTGGAGGGCCAAAATTGGGTGTCAACACAAACTATAAGACTCAAGTCTGCTACTCCATTCTACAAGGAGCTAAGTCATCCGAACGAGGTCGGCAAAACATCAAGGCTATCCAGCCCACACTGGTCATAAGTCTAAGACAATGCTAGCCTAACCTAGACTAAGGACATCATTCTTACAGTTGACAATGAACAAAACATATAACACATATCATATAAGCATACAATAGCATTTAGCACATAAGTATGCAATTATACTAACCCGTCTAGCATGGTACTACACCCGAAGTATGGTCAATCAATCCTAGCACAAGGTATCTAATCAAAATAAAGTAAGTGACTGGTACCCACCCCCAATTCACTCCAATCCACATGGTTTTACGTAATTAAGCTCAATCTAATAGAAAGGAAGTTATAGCCTACCTTTAGGTCGACCGCGCGCGCTCCAAATCACTTTACCGGAGCTTTTCCTTCCCGAACGGCCTTTGAACGTTGTCACTCTATCAAATATAGGATCACAACATTGGTACGGTCGTTTAGACACCAAAATCACAGCAAACGGAGACAAGTCAATTTTGGAGTTGAAACGGGAATTGTGGGACCCGCATCGAACTATCCAGATTTGACTCCGCCAAGAGACCCAAAATAGTACCCCGAACTTGTATTCCAAAATGGAACACTATTCGGGTTTTAAAATGTAGCAAAACCCAACATGCAAGAAAACCCACACTTAACCAACTTAAGAAGAAAGCATGCAACAAGCTAAACTTGGAATTTACAAAAATCAAAGGGTGCCTTGCAGCCCATGAATACTCCACGACATAGCCTCGATAATTCCCGACACGTGGGACTTTGAATCATCCAAAACCAAGCTAAAATGAGCAAGATATCACCAATTCAAGAAAGCCAAGAATAAAAACTTGAAAAAAGGCTTACAACAGTCTGTTTTTTCACAATTTTTATGTTGAACGATGTGCACCCAACAACTTCAGATCAGTCTACAGAAAATCCACGAAGACAACGAAGCTCCTGCACTTTGAATCGCCTTAATTGGCTGAGAAATGAGGGAGATGTGAGATTTTAAAGTTTAGAGAAAGTGCTGATTTTTCTGCTTAAATACACCAGATTTTCAGCATTTTTCAAAGACTTAAAAACTCCGACGGGGGGCTCCGAACTCGTTCGGAACCCCCTGCATGCAAACGAGATATGCAACCATACCAAATTTGATATTTCAGGCTCAATGACACAGTCAAAATTTCCCTACGAGGTCATCTTGACAAAAAGTGGATCCCACACCCGACCGCCATTTTAAGTCAAAAACCACAAAAGGGATAAAAAAAAAACTCAGAATCCTCGGGATAAAAAATGAGGGTCAATCTAGACCAAACTCGATATTCCGGAGCTAAAAGCGCTGACATAATTCTCATCCGAACGTGTTTGCTCAGAATGTTGACTAAAGTCAAACTTAGGCTTAATCTTAAAGTTAAAACGCCTAATAGCACCGACTCACACTAAAAACCTCGAGAGTCATGCAGACCATGCAACTAGCCTAAAATGGCCCTTCTAAAGCTGATGGAATCGTCATAATTGGATTCAGATGTCATCTTCTTGAACTTTTGATCGAAAATTATCGTTTTATGTTCATAAGCTCTAAAAACACTAAAACTCGCACAATAACCAAACGAACGACCAGATGATCGAACTGTCAGTCCTAGCAAGTCATTAATAACTTGGGGTTGCTACAAGAACGCTCGAAACGACACACAAAAGGCAAACCATAGAAATGACCAGGAGGGTCATTACAACATCCACTACTAAAAAGGACTTTCGTTTGCGAAAGGAAGGGTCAAGAAGTACCTGAAGGCTTAAACATATCGGGAAATGGCTCTCGCATCTCTTGCTCGGTCTCCCAGGTAGCCTCCTCGATGGGACTATGCCTCCAATGGACCTTAGCAACAGGAATAGCTCACGAGCGCAATCTCCTCACATCTCTAGCAAGAATGGCAACTGGCTCCTCTACAAATGTCAAACAATCATCCCAACTCAACTGCATCATACTGGAGCACATGGGACTCAGGATCATACCGGCGCAACATCGAGACATGGAAAATCGGGTGGATGGTTGAAAATGCTGGATGTAGGACCAATCATAAGTAACCTCCCCAACTGTCCGGAGTATCTCAAAAGGCCCAATGTACATGGGCCTAAGCTTACCTCGTCTCCCAAACCTCATCACGCCCTTCATGGGCGACACACAAAGGAATACCTGATCACCAATAGAGAATCTTAAAGGTGGACGCCTCCGATCCGCATAACTCTAGTGCCTACTCTGAGTCGTTCGAATTCTATCCTGAATCACTCTTACCTAATATAGATACGAGCCAACCTCTCGATGCTAATGAAGACTGAACAGGAAGAAAGCCAAATGTTATCAACACCTCTAGAAATATGCGGTAGGCCAGCCACAAAATTCATAGTAATGCAATCCCACTTCCACTCCATACAAGTAGTGCCTCCAAATCTTAAGCGCGAAAGTGTATTGCTCTTGAAGGAAGTGGTGATCCAAACTGATGTGTCAATTTAAACGAGGTGATGATTCAATAACATAATATAACGTGTCACTTTTTAGGGAGGTGACTTCCCAATATGTCACTTTTTAGGGAGGTGACATCCCAACGTGTCACTTTTTTAGGGAGGTGACGTCCCAATGTGTCACTTTTTAGGGAGGTAATTTCCCAATATAATATAACCTTATGCTTAAGGGATGTAATGTCCCAATATAATAATAACGCGTCACTTTGAGGGAAGTGATTGTTCAATATAATATAACGTGTCACATTCAGGAAGGTGACACTCCAATAAAAATTTAATGTGTCACGTTGAAATGAGTGACACTCTAATAAAAAATTAACGTGTCACGTTGAAGGAAGTGATGCTCCAAAAATATAACGTGTCACGTTGAAGGAAGGGACGCTTTAATAATAATCTAACGTATCACATTGAAGGAAGTGAAGCTCCAATAATATAATATGTCACGTTGAAGGAAGTGACACTCCAATAATATAATGTATCACATTGAAAGAAGCGACGCTCCAATAATATAATATGTCACGTTGAAGGAAGTGACACTCCAATAATATTAACGTGTCACGTTGAAGGAAGTGACGCTCCAATAATATAACGTGTCACATTGAAGGAAGTGACACTCCAATAAAAATTTAACATATCACATTGAAGGAAGTGACGCTCCAATAATATAACGTGTCACATTGAAGGAAGTGACGCTCCAATAAAAAATTAATGTGTCACATTGAAGGAAGTTACTCTCCAATAATATAACGTTTCACGTTGAAGGAAGTGACGTTCCAATGATATAATGTATCACATTGAAGGAAATGATGATCCAATAATATAATATGTCACGTTGAAGGAAGTGACGCTCCAATATAATAATGTGTCATATTGACGGAAGTGACGCTCCAATATAATTCTCTAATGATAAAGAAAAAATCTCAGAAATAGGGAGTAAGGTTATAACATAGTAATTTGATTAGTTTCTCGTAGTTTGTGAAATCGGTAACATCTCTGATTGTCATTAAAACTTTGTCGTCCCTGTGCTCATAGAAAATTTGTTAGTTAAGAATCGAGAGATTAACGACACTTTTAACTGCATCATGACAATCTGGTAGCCATAAAGAACGCAGGATTTGGGAAGAACGCTTTGAGAGCTTTTAACGTTGAAAGGAGGCACTAATGACCGATTAGGGGTCTCACATAAAGTGTGCCCCTACTTTAAATGGATCTCTTGTAAAGAGATGATTGGTTGATAAAGGATATCTTTGAAACTTTAAGTTGAACGAAGCTTTTGAAGACTTTGAACTATTTCAAAAGTAGCCCCTATTTCTAGTCCAAGGGTACTTAACTTAAATAATTTGTAAAAAAGAAAAGAATGACTAATTCAAAAACATGTTCCAGTTTCCTCTAAGGTCTGTTATTTGAAACAGCAGGAAGACTGAATCCTTATATAGGATTGCCTACAAATTTTGTTTGAACAAAAAGTCGGGTCTGACGTAGTTCGAACTAAAAACTTTAGCAAATTTCTCGAAGACATAAGATTTGCCATAAAAAGGACAAGAGATTTGAAATAACGGAGGACAAAGTTCTTCAACATAAAATAAAGGATAAGAGTTACCTTGTTGGATTGGATCCTTGGTGTCGGGAATCCTTCATAATAACATCTTTGAAAAGTATTAGTTCATGTCCCACTTCTGGTGAACATCTGGATTGATCCTTCGAAAATTGAAACGACCTTTTGGAATTCTAACTCCAATTATAATGAAACTTGGAGAGTTCATAAGTAATTAGTAACAAAATAAAATTATCAAAGTAAAAGATAAGTTGTCAAATGAAGTTGTTAGGCTTATATTGGTCTGGATAACATCTTATGGTC